AATGTGCCAAACATGATGTCAACCCTCGGACTGTCGGACTCTATGCGCGACTTAACTTACTTCCAGTTCCCGCCGTTAACGCGGGAAACCACGTGTAATACGGTTTCCACGTCTGTCGACATTATGAGAGACTACTCGGCCCACGAGTTCATGCCTTCCCATCACCAGAGAAAGGATAATATAGTGATCCGCGACTTCGGCAAAGACTATCCCCGGGAACTGATGCCACGCAAGGAGTACCCGACGGAAACATTGCGTCGGACGACACCCGTATGAGACACGACTGGCCTCTAAATTTAGGTGCAAATTGTTTGGCAAACTATTATGTAATTGTATGGCAATTGTCGGACAACCAGCAAACAAATTGACATTTTTTCTACCATTTGGTGATCATATGATCAAAGCAAATGTTTTATGCAATCATACGGTTATATTAATTGTTATAATAATTGTAATAATAATAATAACTTGTTTTGTTCAACGAATATATATTCAAATTATGAGTGAAATACTAATCGGTATATCGTTCATGTGTTTCCGACAAATGCATTATAAGAATCACGAATTCATTGCAAATTTTCTCATATATTCTGCATTCAAATGAATCAAAAGTACTGAAAATAAATGAGAAAATAGAGACCAAAATTGGTTATAATTAACAAAAATCAGTAATAAATGAATAGCAATACATTTTAAAAAGTAAACATAAGTCAAGCTATGTTTGCCATTATATCCATAATTATTATGAATTAATATAAAATTTAATTCTGTATAACAAATACAAACAAAAGTGAACTTAAGCTCAATATTATTGATAACACAAAACACTTTTAACTTTTATAAATAACTACAATGTATTTATCGACTACAGGCTGATATACAGTAATGTATGTATAAACAAGAATTGCATTGAATAAATGCACGCAAACCTCTCACCGGACTATTAGTTATGTTCAATGAATAGTTAAATGCATTCATTCATATCAAACACTAATTTCATTAAAAAGCAGGTATTTGTTAAAAATGATTAGCAATTTTAATTTGATGCAAATATTGATACATTTTTTTGTTTTAAAAAACACTAGACTTTGTTTGGAAAAAATGAGTCTATAGAGAATTGTAATGACATTATTGTTAGACATTGTTTCCGACATAAATTACAGAATATATTCTCTACTCAAGTTATGAATTAACAGACAATTACTACAGTTTTATGTTTATATTATTATAACAGCCTTTATATTAAAATTTTCAAAACACGAACGAAATCCAAATTTTTATATTCAAAGTTTTTAAGCTATAATAAGAATTTACATAAAAGTGTCAAAAATGTCACTCAATTTTTGGGTAACATTTTAAGTATTAATATTAATAATATATTCAAAATATTTATTATAATTAATTATATCCCAAAAGATTGTTATATAAAAAAGTATTTATAGTTTCAAATATTTAGTTCATTATATTATGTACAAAAAATCACACAATTATTAAGTAATGTTTGAAATATTTAGTGAAAATTAATTCAAATGTTAATTAATATTAATAAAACTTAATATTTAATTAAACTGTTGTTTTCAATTCTAGCAATTCTTAGTGAATTAATAGTACAAAAACTAATTATAAGTTTTTGTGCAAAAATATGACTGAATTTTGAGAATTGCATTGCTTTTTGTAATCAATAATTCAAATCTTCCGCAAATGTAGTGCTTATTCACAACTATTTAATAATTCACACCAAATCTCACTATTATTTCTAGCATTATATGCAACTCTATATTGAGTTGAACTGCAATTTATATGGCATTTAATTTTGTAGTAAAAAGTTTTTATCAGAAATCAATTACAGAATATTCTTGAGTGCAAACCATATACAACACAATTCTGTGCCATAAATGCTTCAAATTATGCTCAAAATCGTATTCAAATAAAAAATGCATCAAATGATGCATTAGGCTAATATGCGGGCACCTGTGCCAAATGCCACCGCATACCTGAGCACTTGTGCTACCGTTCCCATGCATCCAGGCGTGAGTGCCATCTGTTTGCACCGGTCTTAAGCCATA